TTTTTCGATTTGTTTACTTTTCGCCTTTGTTTTGTCTTTTAAAAGAATCCAATATAGATCAATATAAACCATGCATGCGGTTCATCTGTTCGCTGTAGGTACACGTGTGTAACTAACACAACCGGTTGGACCTGTTTAATTCTCTTCTTGTTTTTAAATTTCCACCTTTCATCCTTTTCCCCTGGCTTTTAAGAAACTCAGATTAAACTACAGAGGCTACTGTTTCCTTCTTGTAAAGGAACCGAGGATCCGGAGTACGATCCGCGTTCTGAGTAACTTCAAAAATGTTAAATTGTATCAGGAATTAAATATTGAGAAAGGCAAACTGGATGTGACCTCGTCAAACTGGTTAAGTCTAAGGAATGTACATATAATTAAACAAGTTCTCACCGACACGCGCTCTCTCCAGAAACCTGTCTTCATCGAGTCTGTCACTGTATGAGCTGTTAAACCGCTTTTAGGTGAGTATTTGGTTATTAGGCTCTAAGTTCTAGGTAAATGAGCTACTATCGTGCAATATTTTCTCAATTTATTTGGCATTATTGCGCATAAGCGAAAGCAGGGGTTGGCGGCATAGACAAGGCCAATAGACCGGAAAATATTGACATTTAGCTTGGATCTGAAATTCGATGGAATCCACTTCTCATCCATCGCAAAATTAAAACTGTCAATAGTATGCGTTTTTGGCGATCATTTCAGAGAAAGCTCATGCAGTTTCTTCGCAAAGCTTAAGCAGTGTGTGATATGTTTACCACTGAATAGAACGGTATATTAAGAAGCTTGGCCTCAGACAAACGATAAAAGCAGGAAAAAAATTACGGATGAGTTTTGACGCTTTTTAATTTCCTTATTAAGAAAATTTTATAGGAACAGCGCGGATTATTTTTTATTTTTTTCATAAAACATCCGCCGCCTTTTGCCTACCCTTCAATTGCTCTTCCATCGTTAAGTTATGCACCATGCACTTTTTCCCCCATTCAAAGACGGCTCAAACTTATCCTGCCAGTTTTTGTACCGGAGAATTTATTGGAACGTCTCATTATTTCACAAAACCAACTGACAAATGCGACCGCCTTTTGGTAATTAAATTTTTTACAAATTGATCCACCGCTCCAAAGATGGATGTCGCATTGCGTGGTATTGAATACTGTGCCTTAAACGGAACAACCGAACGAGGCACTTCAGTATAAGATATTTTTGGTCAACAATTTGGCGCAGAGCGAACTCTCCAATGCCAAAAAAACTAACGATGGTATACTAAACCCGGCAAAGACGTAAACAGTACGATGACGCATAATTATTCCGGTCAGCGTAAAACACAGCCTGCGGACCGATTGTTTTCACCATACAAATGAGTACTTAACAACAACAGTCCTTGTTTTCTAACCCTTTTAAAAAACAATAGTCCGCAGTCTTCACTTTACTCTACGCCATAATTATTCACGCACAATTCTCTTGTTTTCTTTTCGATTATTCTTAATTTGCATTGTATATTCCCGATATTTCTGATCACTTCTGTTATCGGTATGCATAGCACGATGACACATTCATGTCATTCACTAACATGTGTTCTTTCCGATTATTCATAATTTTCATTGAATATTCCCCATATTTCTGATCTCTTCTGTTATCGGTATGCACAACTATAGCTACAGTTACACTGGCCGTTTTACCGTTGTGTACAAAACGACTGAAGTGAACTGAAATGATAGTTCGAAAGTTCTATTGGTCAAAGCGAATATTTTTGACTGATCACGGGGTCAGAACGGGGATTAATCCTAGAAATCATGTGTTGTTTACGTGCGCCAAGAACTTAAAAAGGTCGACAACACAACAGCATTTCGAGGGATTCTGTGAATTGTGAATGGTTTTTCGTTTTAAAAGATATTCAAAAACACCCCGAACACCTCGAGCCACTCGGAAGTTTCCTTTCCATCAGAAGACGGTCAAGAATTCTTTAATTCACAAGTCGTTGCGTGGAATTTTTTTCAATTTCGCGGACCCACAAGTTATGGAGGCTGAACACAGTGAGTTGGTAGGTCCGTGATTCGTTGTTATTTATTGGGGTGTTATTTAAGACTGGTTACCGATTTTTAAGGTCATGTTTGGCACGGACAAGATACAAATATAAGATAATATTTTTATTAGATTAAAAGTAAGATTTCGATCGTTGCCATGGTGTAACGGCGAATCGCGGCAAATGATAAACAACAACAAAACGTTTTTAAAATCGTACACGAGGCTGAATCAACTCACAAGTATCATCACAAATATCCGTTAGAAATCCATAGCACGAGAAAGAAAAACTGAAACAAACGACTTACAAAAAAACTTGGGAAACTTGAAGGAAACCTTAGAGAAACTTCGGGTTATTTCACGGTGGCTTCGTGCCCGCCAATGCCGAGGCCCCCGTGCAGATGCTCCTAATAAACAAGGGGTGAGCCCGCTGGTCAGGATACCGGCAGTTAGAAATGGCAACATAGATGGTTGGTGGTGAATTCAATAGGCTTGCGAAAAATCCAGTCATTAGATTTCCTTATGAATTTGCACACAGATTGCAATTATTAATCCTCAATTTTTAGAAACAACTTGACCAAATTGTGACAAACAGTATCTGAAATTTTTAACCAGATAACTTTTTTTGAAATTTGGTTTTGTCGCAAAACCCCTTTGTCCCACTTTTATTTTCGGGTTTTTGAATGAGTGCAACATTAGCGAAAATTTTGCCAAATTTCGTCAAATTCTAATGAGTAGATTTTACGATATCGTCATTTGTTAAGGTTGTCTATGAAAGTCAACAAAACAAGTGCTCTCACATTTATTCCTTAGTGCGCAATCGGCATGCTTAACACAAAAGCGACGAAAACAGAATAAATTTATTTATAAATTTACACATGCTCTCCTGATAAAGATGTTAGCAGTAGAGGGCGAAAGTTCCCGCGAAAACTTCAAGTTACTATAGATTATGTCACCCTTTTGCGCTTGCCGAAACAATTGCGTTTTTTAGTGAAATTTTTTAGAGCGCGCAACACTATATCAGAGGAACTGTGTTCAGCCACATTAACAAGCGGGCGATCCGTCAGCGTCCGCAGGCTAAAATCTACCTAAAGAAAGAAAGGGAAAACTGTAAGCACTGTATTAAACCCGTCTCGCCTGATTGCGTAGAAAGCTGGGTGTAGAGAGAAATATTCAGCACGTAGCAACAACAATAACAAAACAACATAATCCTCAGGTGGACAACTCAATTACTTACCGCCATCATAGTTAATTGTCAGGTCAATCAAAAGCAATTTTGATTGCATGTCTGGCTCGATAAAAAAAATGAGGCATTTCGCAAAATAACTTCCAGGAACTGTATATGGTTAAGTGACATGCCTAATGTTCCTGGCAGTAACCGAGCTTCATGATGATGGTATTAACTGATGTATAATAAGTGTATGCTTAAGTGATATTTATTTAGGTTGCTTTGTTGTAGACGCAATGATTCCGGCGAAATATGTAACAATAAGGTCCTTAATGCAGTTGCACACTTTGCTATCACGTGATGCCACAGTCAAACCCAAGACCTTGACAACCCGCCAGAGCCCGCCCGCCGGTCGAATGTCTGTGGCTCCTTTGGCAGACTATCCTGAAAAATGTGGTAGAACCACTCCCTGTTCAACATAAACCAGAGATCTTTTCCGTTGCGGATGACTTGGTACTCTACAACAGGCTAATAAGACTCCTAGAATCGTTTCTTCTAACGGTGCGGCACAGAACATACTCTCAGTATCAAGCAAGAATTCATCTCGAACGAAGCCAACAAGCAGCGAGTTAGTCTTTCTTCAACTTAAAACGGTTGAACTGAACATTTTCCAGGAATCCACGTCAATTACTAAACGAAGTCCTCTTCGTCGGGCTTGATTTTGGAAAACGAGAGCAGAAGGCTCCAGAAAGCGCCACAAAGATCATCTGTAAGGACAAATTGCTTTATCGTGCTAACCACACACTGGAGGATGGATGGTGCCTCAATCCAGATATTCGAAACCCAAAGGAGCAGACGGTTACAAAGGAGAAACGAAGATGAAAGAAAAAGAAGACCTTCCGCGCAAATGACGCCACTAACTGCGGCCCTCTCCTCTTCGCGATGCTTACGTGTCTGCGCTTCGGACTGCGGAGACCTCAGCTGATTCCTTCCCCAGAATCGCGTACGCAAGGAAGCAGCTGGTATATTTGTATGGTACATTTAACGTTGTTGAATTAAATACTTTTTAAACATGAACAGATAAAGAGTTAGAACCAACTTCACATTGACATGATTGACTAGCAAGGACGTATTCTTGTTATCCATTTATTTCTAACTTTATCCTAACCATAACGTTAAGTGGCAGTAGTAACAAAAGTGGTCTGACGATTTGAGAGATGCTTTGAGTCTACGAAAACAAGGTATGTCAAAGTAGAGACAAACCATTAACAGAGAAAACAAAATTTATATAAAGAAACTGATTATCAAAGTTAAGAAAAAATTGGGAAAAAAATGAAAGGCGAAAGCCACTTAGGTAATAACCGACAATAGACGATGTAGCAACGATATTTTCATTTAAACAGCGTGACAGTTTCCACATCATGAAAACATGACGCCCATAGTTTTCAAGCTTTCGTTTACAATCATATAATGAACTTATATGTGAGTTTTCCTTTAATTTTTTTTTTTGCAAATTGGAGATTTCAAATATTTTGATGGCGACCCTTACAAAGGAAGAGAAAGAAACCGGATATGCTTTCCTGTTGCTAGTGACTATTTTTTGTATCACATGACCTAATATTCTAACTTTTACTTCTGTTTATCGCATGCTTATCAATAAGCAGTTAGTGAAATGAAGGTCTATCTGACAAAACTCTTTTTATAAAGTACCTTAAAGACGAAATTCACCAAAATAACTAGCCTTAGTAATGCGAGAGTCCCTCTACTTACAAATTGTGGTCTGGTTTATATTTTTTCAGGTATTTCGCAGGGCATTATGGGTCTCACAGTTGATGATATCATGGACAAGATTGGCAGCTTTGGACGGTATCAGTACCGACTGCTGTTCATCTTTGGTTTTATGAAGATCTTTGGAGACGGAATTCAGATTATGATTCCGACCTTCCTGTCCATTGAACCAGCGTGGCGATGTAAAGACAACAATTCTGCGTGCAATCTCACTGGATTATTCCGACCGGGAAACGACAATTACAGTTACCGCTGCTCGATTCCTAGGGATGCATGGGAGTTTGACAGAAGTGAAATTAAAAGCTCGGTTGTGACTGAGGTGAGATCGATCAGTTTAAGAATTATAAGTTAAAACGTGTATTAAAGGTATGTTTAGCTCTATCCTCTAAAAATTGCTGCTAGACAGAAACAAATGGAGATGCCATGATAATGTGATCTAAGGGTGCGTTCCTTTGGGATGATCGGATCAGGATCAGTGATCTGAGATCACTCGGATCATGGCGGATCAAATGAACCAATGAATCCTTGTCCAGAGTGGATTCATCGGTTCATTTGATCTACCATGATCCGAGTGATCACGGATCACTGATCCTGATCCGGATCATCTCAAAGGAACGCACCCTAAGTTTGCTTAATATTGTCTTTCTCTTATCTTTACCTTTTGGTTCGTTTCAAAATTCAGTCGATTCTCCTAATACCCTCTTCACTTTATTGACTACTGCATACTTGTCAAAACTCAGAACAAGCAGGTTTTTTATTGTTTCTATTGTATTGTTATTTCTTTTGCAGTTTGACTTGGTTTGTAGAGTATCAGCACTGTCTGTACTTAACAAAGCCATTATGTTCCTGGGCTACATGATTGGTGTCCTTTTGGGGGGATTTTTATCTGACAAATTCGGACGCAAACCTGTAGTGTACTACCTTTCTGTACTCTGCAACATCCTGGCACTGGGTGCCTCCTTTATCCAAGTTTACTGGCTGTACATTTGCCTTAGATGTGTGGTGGGTCTTACTATCGGTAAGTTAAGTGACTCTGACTGATGATAGATCAGCGCAGTCACTGAGCCTGAAATATTCTTTTTTTCTCTCCGTAAAAGGCCTGCAAACTACAATGAGTCAAAAGTGTTGTGACCTTCCCAGTGATATTAGTAAAACTATCGACGTCCTTCCTCCCACCCCACAATTTTGAATTTTAAGCAAAATGGATGAAAATGAGTCCTTCCTTTCCTTGCTGAAGGGAGTAAGGAAATAACGGAATGAATCCAAAGCTTATCAAAGTATTCGGTTACTAGCTATAGGAGAAGAGTCATATGTAACAAATAATTGGAAGGGTTTTTCCTTAGTGTTCCATTTGACTTCCAAATCTCCCCCTCCTACACCAAACAATGTTGAATTTTGAGCAAAATGGTTGGAAATGGTTCTTCTCGGGGTATCAGCGTTGCTGAGGGAAGAAAGGGGATGAAGGGGCGGGTGAGCCCAAAGCCGATCCAAAAAATTGTTACTAAGAGCAGAAGTCATATGTAACTTGGAAGGGTTTTTCCATAGTGTCCCAAGTTCATATAATTTGACTTCCATTATAAAGTTAACAAATTGTAAGTTCTAAAGTGTTGCGATTAGAGACTTGGCAGTACTACATCGTAAAGTATGACCAGGGACAGACAGTAAACTGCAGGCAAACGAACTTTCCTTAGAATTGCAAACAACATGTTTTTCAAATCAGCTTATGGCTCAGTCAATTCCAAGCGTACCCATCCCCCCGGGCATTTGTCGGGCATTTGTCATTTACCATCTTTTCCGGCTGTGAGGATTTGACAGAAAACCTTTGCCCGGGGGTGGAGCTTTTGTCAATTCTTCTAGAAGCGGTTTACGTCGTTCCTTTTTCAATATTTCGTTTAAAAAAAATATGCCTAGTTAGAAAGCTTGAGATATTTATATAAAGAATATTTTTAATACCTATGCTTTAAAAAGATATGTGTGGTTTTCGCTCCATCATTTCCCTACCCCTCAGTATTTTTTGCATCCGTCAAAGAAATTGCTTCCCGCCATCGTGAGCTGCTCTCATATGGAAGAAAAACAATCAATGTATCGTTTGTAGAGTTTAAAGGACAGGAAACTTTCTTTGTGCGTGAATGGCTGAGGCAGAAAGGCCTAAAAAACCTCTGCGAGATGTTTGAGATATTTCGTGTATTGTACGATGAATACGACAATTAATATGCTGACGAAACGTTTCCGTGATAAGAACGTACTCATGTAAGGCTCGTCGGTGGTTTGTTTATCATTTATCATAAAATATTAAACAACTTCGAAATGAGAAAGTTATTATTAAAATGCTAATTTATAGTTCTGTCATTGAGATTAATCAGATCAATGACAGTGATCTTTTTTGCAATAATTATAACTAACGTCTAGAAGCGTTTTGCTTAGGGTGCTTCACGTACGAGTTTGATCAGATCATTACAGATTTCCCATAGAGATGGTATTTGCAGCTTATTTACTGGGAAATGCACTTTGTTGTCCCGGGGTGAGGCATTTGTAACCTATTTTGTCTAGTATAATCAAGCCAAGAATGCTCGTTGACACACTGATTATCAGTAAACGGTAGTTATTATTCATTCAAATTATTTCTCCGTTTCTGATTGGCTAAAAGCACATGCATAATTCACCATAACCGGATACTGTTGACCAAATTTGGAAGAATTTTGCGATTAATCAACTGATGACGTCAAAATTGCAGCACAGTTGCAGTTTAATGCACCGTTAACCGAGAAGACCTGTGGACGAGGTTGAGTTGTTGTAATTGTGCAAAGGAAAATGGCTGAACAGTCGGCTGAACATTTTACTCGTTTCACGACGAACTATTGTCTAAAAACATAGCAAGAAGACAACTCGGAGGGTGTTATCCACCTCGATCTGCGTAATTCTTCATATCCTACTCAGCCTCATTCATTAATTGCTAATTATTGAAATACTTCAATTAACAGGAGCCTCCTCTCTGTCCATGTACGTCTTACTCGTGGAATATGTTGGAAAACGTCACCGTCACGTGATTGGAACCACGCTGTGGTATTTCTGGGTCATATCGCTAATGCTGATTCCATTGTTTGCCTACCTGATAAGGGACTGGAGATCACTTTCCATCGCCGCAGCAACTCCAGGCCTCCTACAAGTATTTTTCTGGTGGTAAGTAATATATAGAGTGTTTCCACATGACGTCACGGCGGCCAAATTGGTGTCCCTAACCAATCCTGTGGGAATTGAACTCTTTTCTTATGTAAATGCTTTCTTTTGTTCCAATAAATTTGCATAGATGCTGTGGCCACGTGAGTGAAAACGCTCTGTAACGTTCATGGTCTAATAGACGCCCTTTCTCAATTAAACGTCTCTTGTCTATTAAACGCCCCCTTACGCTTTTTACTTTTTATTAAACACACGTCTTTAATTAACTCCCCCGTCTAGTAATAGCCCCGCTTGATAGTTGCCCCAAAATACTAGGAAATAGCGAAGTAGAGCAAAACCATTCAATTTTTCAGTTTCTTGTTTGATTAACAAGAGCTTGCGCATTGCATCTTATTCAACGTCAAGTTCTGACATCGAAGTTGAGCTTTTGAAAAAAACGACATGATGGGCCTAAACGGCCTAGATGTATTGATAGATGGACTATAGTCTACTATATATATATACTGTGGAGATACATTCGCCAATTGCATGTTAACTTTGTGGAGTTTTTTTTTACAGTTATGAGAACAAACGCCTCTCTTTTAAACTCCTTTCTATTAAATGCCCCCGCTTGGGCTCCTAAAATCGGAAAGATGCCTCGGGTGTCTATTATATCGTTAACGGTAGGTTAGTCTAGGGCATTTGATGAGCTTCGATTGTATGTAAACGGTTAATTTCTATCTTTCTGCAAATTAGAGATGTTTGTTGCAAGCTGATGCCAGCCTGATTATCCCTGATCATAGGGACCTGCTGTTCATACTTTACCACATAAGTTTTCGTATCGGCACGAAAAGCCATCTCTTATAGTGTAGGCATATCGCTGCAACCTTCGCCTTTTGGGTGGTAGCTTGGGAGAGATTCGAATACAAGTAAGCTTACACGAAACATCTCTTTTTGTTTTTGTTTAATGCAACAGGCTTCTTAAGCATAAATGATGACGCACTTGTATTCGCTCTCTCCCCCAGTGTAGTTCTATATTTCAATTGTTACTTTAGTTATCTCTTTCAATGTTATCAACTCCCTTAGGTTCATTCCAGAATCGGCTCGTTGGCTTTTAGTAAAAAACAAATCAGAACAGGCCTGGAAAGAACTCGAAAAGGTTGCTGCTTTCAACAGGAAAGAAATGCCAGATGAGGAGCTTGAACAGAAAGATGCTAACGAGGTACAGAGAACTGGAGACTTCCGAGATCTCTTCAACTCCTTCAACATGACGAAAAGAACTCTTATCTCCTGTTTTTCATGGTAGGCTCATCATGGAATGTTAACTTATTTGCCCGTTAGGTCTAATCTGATCCATATATTCACTCTTTCCAAACATTTTGAATGTTCTTTCATTAACATTGATTGATCCGGTTTTATAAGAGAAAGTCATTTCGAGCTCACAATATATTAAAATCAGCCCTCTAGCAGATTTAAAAGGATGTCAGTTATACAAAATGTTTCGTCCGGTCATTGAAAAAGGTCTGGGTTCAAATCTAAGTCAGGAGTGTTGTTCTATTACTCGTGATGTCGTAGGTCGGAAACCCCAAATGAAACCCAGCTGTGTCACACACCTCATAGTATAGTCGAGAATATTTGGTGTCCATTCCCTTTTTTGTCCTATGACTGCAGCTATTTCTTGGGGAAAAACCCTCGGAAACCAGAGGGAAAATTCTGCATTTTTCTGCGCTGAGACACTATCTGACGTGAAGTCATGACGTATGCTAGTCGCGCACGATAGTCGTATGCAAAAATTGTACCGTCTCAATCGGCCTTAATCGGCCTAAATCGTGTACTTAATTCATGTTTGCTGCATTTTATATAAATGGATTACCCTGGCTTACAATAATACAAAATACCCACCTCACTGTCTTTTAACATTTTATCTTTATCTGTGTTAGGATGGTCATATCACTGGTTTATTACGCTGTTTCGTACAGCGCGGGAACGTTTGGTGGAAATCGTTATTTGGTGTTCTTCTTGACGAGCCTCATAGAGATTCCTTCTAACTGGACTTGCATAGTGCTGTGCAAGAAGTACGTAATAGTTAGCAACAAACGTAGATTAGCTAAATAGAAGAAACAAGACCAACCGCAGCAAACTGGTCTACTACACAAACTAATAAGCTAACTACTCCAAACTACATAAAACCATACCAGTTGCCCACAACCTACGCCAACTACTCCAAAATACACCCGAAAGTATACCAGCTCCAACAATGCACACCAAACTACACCAAATTCGAGCAAATAGGCCCTCTACACAAACTGCCAAACTACTCCATTACACAAGCTGCATGAACTGCTCGCAAATATTATATTTCAACATACCAAAAAGCACCAACTACACCAAACTATATCAAACTACAGAAAATAAAAACGTCGTGTTGATGCAGAACGGGAGGTATTATATATATTTTAATCGTTTTTATTATTTTTATTCAGGATTGGCCGAAAGAAAACCACTGTGCTAGGCGTGGTTGTTTCCTGCATTGCCTCCATTGTTGCAGTTTTGTTCCAGCGTAACCTGAAAAACACAGGTAAACCATGAAGAAATTTCATTAAGCTAAATTATTTATTTGATAAGGTGCGTTATATTTTCTGGGCAACTTGAAGTCTGATATGGACCCAGCTACGGTTTACTTTATCTTCTCAAACTCATTAATAATTCAGAAAGAAAATACAAAGGATATTAATATCTAATGAGTGTTTGGAAATCAGATGAAAAACTGCTCATTTTTGCATCCTTAATTTCTCCTACTAAGATTATATTGTTTGAGAAGTAATATCACGCATGAGACACAGTGTTTCATCACCAGATGAAACACCTCGAAGTTCGTCAAAAATACTCCGCTGCCCGTCGTATTTTCTCTTCTCGGTGTTTGAATTATTATTGAACTCCATTCACCCGAATTCCAAAAATTTACCCTTGAGACACGGGGTAGTTTCCCCCCCGGGGGGGAGGGTACTCCCTTATATAAGCCATATAGGTATGTGCCGCCCCATCGGGTAGGGTTTTTGCGCCGTTTTGGTCTGAAAACGGGTATAAACTTTGTCCATTTTGGTCTGATATCGGGTTGGGTTTTCGAGGGAACTAAGGGAGTGTATGAACATTGTTATCATTTCAATTCCAAGTGAGTGAGAAAGAAAGAGAAATATGCCAGTTCGAAATGGATTTGAATATTTTTTGTGTTCGTGCCCTAATAAATCTGATAATGATATCACAATTTCCGCCTAAATGCCAGAAAACGGGTATGGATCTTACAGGTCTGGTGTGAAAACGGGTGTGGATAGTTACATATTTTGGTCTGAAATCGGGTCAGGATTTGAAGAACCGGGCGGCACACCCCGACCAAGAATTCCCAGGAGTACCCCCCCCCGGGTAGTTTCCAAGCGCCTTAGTTGTATATTGCTGCCCAGAAATTTTCGTATCTTTAAATCTTTTACATGCGATTAAATATTGTTTCCGGCCATTCGTTCTGACTATCTATTTCTCTCGTTGCAGGATTCCTAGTGGCAAATATCATCATGGCACAAGGAGTCGCCAAATTCTTCATCAACATGTCATTTAGTTCAATCTACGTGTTCTCTAATGAACTTTTCCCGACAGTTATCAGGTATTACCACATTCATTCGTAAAGCAACAAAGATAGTACGCGCGCTCTGATTGGCCGAGAGGTGTTTTTGCAGGAGAGTATGTAAACATGGTTGCGACGTCAAGGTATTTTGCTTTTCGAGCGCTAATCACGCGAGCACGAATTTGAAAAAAAAACTGAGTTGAAAACTCGACAAGTTTACTTTATTATTTTACCCATTCCCCTTGTCGGCTGAAACTTGGAAAAACTTTACAAACATGCCGTGTCAATATTTTTTCGCTTAAGCTGACATTAATATAAGCGAGAAAAATCGTTATTTTGGTAGGCATCTTTTTTGCAAATCAAGAGCTGATTACGCGTGCAAAACTTCGTGTACAAGACTGCGACTGGTAAGAATTTCTCTTTTAATCAGCGCCATGATAAAGTGTTTTGAGTTTTTCTCGGGAAAGTTAATTCATAAAAGCAATAGAAACCTTTTTTCCTGTATTTGCATAGCCTGATATAGACACTTCGTCTCGGGTTGACGTAACTGTTTCGAATTCTCCCACGAAATATCAGTGGCATGGAGAGCCTGTCCAACGTTATTTTTAGGCCAAAAACATGGAGACAGGGTCTCCCATGAGTTCCCAACTATTGGCAGGTATTCCCATATCCTCGTCCTTAGTCATTTCAGTTTCAGACGAAACGGTGGCCTCGGTTAAATGATATAGTTACAGGCCAGGGGATCTTGCCCGCTAGTGGATTCAGAAATAACCTTTACTGTCATTCAGTCCAAATTTTTTCTCTGTTCCTAATTGGCTCAAATCCCAGGGCTGATTTTTTATAACCAGCTGCGTTAGAGCGTTCCCCCCCCCTCCCACTTCCTCACCGATTTGGATTGTGTCTAGGCCTATTATTGATGAAAAAATGCATACGCGTTATTGACCAAGGTGGAGGTCAAGATAGCGGAATATTGGTCAAGTTTTTTTTGGCATTTCTTCTGGACCGAGATGAAGTCAAAGTAAAAGCGCAAAAAGTATGAGGCCTATGTCCAACCCAGGGGCTCCCTTCTTCAAAAAAGGATTGATTTTGTTCTTGCCCGCTTGAGGTTTCAGCCATATAATAAACTAAAAATAACTACTGTATGGTTAAGTAACAAAGAAATATTTTCATATATTTTCAAGGAACATCGGTATGGGAGTATCATCTGCTTCAGCACGAATTGGATCAATGTCGGCACCGTATATCGTTTGGCTGGTACGTTATTGTGTTGTTATTGTACACTGAAGTTGTCAGCCTTTCTTAGATTTTCATTACATTTAAGATTTCTAATATTTTGATACATTTTTTCAGGTTCGTTTTCATGTTCTCCTGCCATACTCCATTGTGGCAGTTCTTGCTTTCTTGTGTTCCGTCCTGTGCTTTCTGCTACCAGAGACAAGAGACGCCGCAACGTTGGAGAACATCGATTCCGTCAACAGCAGCGCCATAGAAATGAGAGAGAAGGAACCAGTTTCTCCTGAACCAAACGAGGAGAAAGAAGAATTAGGAGAACTGTTGCTCAAGGGGGACCAACCTGCTTAAACTACATTGGTAAAAAGAAACATACCTGGGGAGTAGAGAGAGAAAAAAGGTTGAGCCGTTTTCTCATGCTTAAACCTTAAGGACTTTAGGTGCCTTTAAAAATGCATGTGATACTTTTGTAATATTTTAAATCATCTCGTGACAGTTATAATTGGAAGGTTTTGCAAGAGAGGGTTACCTATCGGGTGTCAGTGAAACGCAGAGTCAGGGTCGGGGTCGGGGTTTAGAGTTGGGGTTGACACTTACCCTAACCCCAACCCTAGCCCTAACCATAACCCTAACCCCTATCTTGGTTTCTGTGAAGGACATCCGACCCCGGAGAGTGGGACTACTCTCGAGTTCAATTTTGGACATAGGGTTGCTGTTGAGGCTTTAAAACCTTGACCTCGCTTAGAACAAAGTAATAACCAAATATACACCCAGCGTAGCTAAAGGTAGATTTATTTTCAGCTTAGGCGTATTGCCGTTACATTGCTTGTTTTTTTTTTTGGAGCTTATACGAGTAGGTTCCAAATAAATCCAACCAAAGTTTATGCTTAGTTTTGTTTATGTTTATGCTTCTGTTAATGCTCATAAAGAGGGCAGCCATTCATAATGGTGCAGTCACAGTCCAATAAAGAGTGAATAAAGATCCTCGTGTCATCAGACTTTACGTACCTAGCCTCTTCAAGTTTCATAGGTGTGTCTTGGATATCAGTTCTTAGAGTCAGACCAAAAGAGTCACAACGAGTCTGCTACCCCTTTTCACCTCCCGTCTTCGGTCCATAGAATGAATACAGCGAGAAAACCCCACACGATTTTTTAGTGTTTACAAAAACAGTATTACATACCAGGGCCGTAGCCAGAAAAAAATAAGGACTGAGGCAATATCCATGGTTGAATTCCCCGCCTAGCTATTCAGGGTCTTTATGATGACTACGTTTAAACAAAACACTGCCAGGATCAAACCTTAAATGACTGAGGCAAGTGCCTCGGTTTGCCTCATACTGGCTACGGCCCTGCATACCCGCTTTCTGGATATTATTAAAGATAAAACATTGTGTTTAAAGATGTTCTAGTCCAGAGTGATACACGAATTCACTTTTTTTTTGTAACAGATGTGTTGCTTAATTTGTGTGTTCAGTGGACCTTGATATAACGAGCCTCTATCTATATTTTTATCGAGGCCTTCGATAAAACGAACGATATATCCCTCGCCCCAACAACGATAAATGGAAAAGAACCTCGATATAACGCTTTGAAGTGAACTGACATATTTTGGCGTTAATTCAGATGATTTGTTATAAGCTGAATATATGGGTTTTGCGAGGTGCAGTTAACAGAGAGGGTAGCCTTGCTAAAATGAAAATAAAATGACAAAAAAAATAGCGCTTGGAGTCGGTATAGTATCAGACGCAAACAAACCACGATTGACCAAGGTTTAGTTTCGTCTTCGGCCCAGGCTCAGTTACACCAGGCTCGTCTGAACGGTTTAGAAAATGACCTTATCTATCAGGTGACTTGTACCTATAACATTCGTCTTCTTAACGGGTGTAGAGCGCGGGTACAAGAGATGAGGGAGCAACGAATGATGGGAAGACGAGAGAGACCTCTTATATCCCATCCATCCTTACATCTTAGCTTTAAAAAAAGAGCTATAGTGTGCAGCTTTTTATTCCTGTATAAATACACCCTTTTCAATCGGCGGTCATGTAAGTCCCTAGAGAAGAAAAAAAAGTGTTTTCCGGGTGTAGAATACCCTGGTCCTAGAGTCTTTCTCCGCTTGAGAGACAGAAATCCAATATTTGGGCTCGCTCTCTCTCAAACGGAGAAATTCAAGCAGCTGGAACCAGAGTAGGTCTCAACTCGTTCCATTTTCCCTGCAAGGCTGGACGTGCAGATACTTTCAACTCGAGAGGGCATTCTCTTAAAAGGCTTGGTTCAGAGGCCGCTCCACTCATGTGCCGAACCTAATTGAATTAGGTTCGACTTTGGAGCGACATTGGCGAGTCAAATGATTCAGACGGCGTACCGTGTGTCGATCCTCACCTTTATTTCATTTACAAAAAAAGAGAAAGGCCTGGGTCCGATACCATAATCACGCGCCACAACTGAACTTTTCTCTATTTTTGCCGTATCCAGGAGGGGTACTCCGGATTTCAAGCCACAGGAATGATCGAATGGGGGTAAAAATCAAACCCCCCCAAAAATCTCTGGACCAAAATTTAACCTCCAAATAATCCAGTGCCTAATTTCCTAGCCATAAAAATTTCCAGAAAACATTAAATGATATAACACGAAAAATAGAAATATTAGTAAATTATGGAATGTTTGTGTTTGTTTATTTACCACACCATCTCGAGTAAGAAGCTTTTTCGCATCTGGTGGTCATTGTAACAACACTCCAGACACCCAATAACTTATTAAAACAGTTGCAAAACAAGTTTGGTTTTACGTTATCCGCGGACGGTACGCGGTCTGGATAAGTGGGATACGCGGGAACTAGCCCTACCACGAATCTGCATATTGTTTTGAATACCCCCCCAAAAATCCTAACTTAAATCAAGCTACCCAAAAAGGTATTTGCCAAAAATTTTCCTACCCGAAATCCAAACTTTCGAACCCAAAAAAATCCTTCGAGCATCCCTGTCACTTGAAATCCGGAGTACACCCCCCCCCGACGGGGTTTGCCGGATTCAATTGAATTATTACATTGGACCTTTTCGTGCTCTTCCGTAACTTCTTCTTTAACATGGCTCACAATATGCGAATGATCTGCCCGCTTTCCAGCCCTTAACAGTTTCACCGAAATATAAGTATTCCTGGCACCGTAAACAAGTATAGTTTGTATTCTTAGAGCAAGATGGGCAAGATTGTTCTTCTTTATCAGCCATTTTCCTCAATTTAGTGCTCTGCGCATGGCAAATCAGGTAAAAACAAGCAAGATTATGGGAAAAAAAATTGTAAATTTAATGTATGCGTAATGCATGCATTAGGCTCGAGCGCACCCGCCGCTCTACTGTCGAATAATGCGACGTTTGGCGTAGTTCCGCACCAAATGAAAACTGCTTTGGCAAATTGATTCAGACGCCGCTCTTTTGCCGCACTCAATTCATCAGTTAGGTTCAGCACATGAGTGGAGCAGCGTCTGAACCGGGCCTTATTTGGCCTAGATGGGTATGTGCTGTGGTTTTCCTCGTGATCACTAGTCTTAAACATTCACTAGTTAACGTCTTGAACAGGGTGTAAAAATAATCTGACTCAACGCGAAAAGAACTGAGTCAGAGTCATAAATTAAGATCTCTTGTCTTAAACAGGGATCCAAAATGCACTAGAAAAATAAATTTTCTTTTAAACAGGGTTTGGGTTTGAACACCTCTACCCTCGCCCTCCCCCCCCCCCGAGGGGGCGTTTACTGGAAGTCGTCGTGAATAACCTACCTTCGATATACAACTCGAACTCTAACGGGAAACAGAAAACAGTTCGAGTTTGCGGGGAATTCAAGTTTTCCGAGTTCGAGCTATCGAGCCGTTTTTTCTACCGTATTAAAATTCTTTCATGACCCGCCGCTTTCTGGTCATATTTCTATATTTGGTTTGGTTTTCTTTTAGCCTCCCCGCAGACGTCGTTTGGGGTTCGTTTGTAGCCTGTTCCAGGCGTTCAGATAGTGGGGAGCGGTGCGAAGTAAAAGGGAGCGCGAAAAAATAAAAGCGAGGGAGGAGGAGAGGTGAGAGAGGGAACGCCTGTTAGATTTGTTTTAAATAGACTCTTCCACCCAGTCAGACCGCATCAGCTGTAGGTGGTCTTCACTTGTCAGTCAAGACTGGTGTTACAGCCCGATGCATTTATTATTTTTCTTGCGAATAAATCGACGTTTGTCAGATCAAAAATTAATATTATGTATACGTAATCTTACTAAAAACCCAATGTAAGACTTTCAGACAATAGAAGGCGGGAGAAGTATTCATGTATAATGAATTTATTTACGGCTTTAAAGCATGATTTCAGCGTGTACGTGACAAAAAATTATGAATCAAGTGACAAAAAAATATCGCTCATTTCGATAGAAAGCCGTTTCAATACAGATCGTTAACTCAAGCAATGAAAATGCACAACAATTGAAGGGAAAATTTACTATTCCGTGATTGAGTGGACGTCGTCAATAGCGATAGCTGCAACTTGCTTTCCAAGCTTTC